GCAACAAGTCTCATTATAGGAACACAACCTACAGATGTTGTGCGCAAAATTGAATTTCGATTTACTTTTGCGACGCCGCGCAACCATTTTATTGCATGAACCAAACCTCCAGAGGTCGTTCGCAATATTATCGAAGTAAAATCGAGATTTTCTTGCAACATTACGCGCAACGAGTCTCATTGTATTAACACGACCTGCAGCTTTGCGCGCACCCGTGTGAGATTGTCATTTTGTTACAGGAAGCGCGCAACAGTTGCAGCATGTGTCCGGACCTTAATCATTATAGCTAGCGTTACACACATCGTACATTACTACCTGGTGCATCTGAAGTAGTTGCTGCTGTTGAATGAGCAACGGACTATGCAGAAGCTGTTCTTCTCGTAGTTTTGCTTCTTCGATGCTATTTGATGACTGCGCAGTCGTTCTGTCAGGAGCTTTAGACGAAGAAGTTAAAAACATAGCCTCTAATTCCTGTGATGAGAAATTAGAGAAGTAGTCCTTCTTATTTTCCTTTTGTTTGTCGTTAACCCTTCTTTCGATGGCCTGGTTTCGCGGCGTTTGGCCAGTATGCTGAAGGAATGATGATCCTACTGCAGATGGATCACCAGACGAACCAGACCAAGTAGAAGTACTGAATTGCGATGCAGTCGAACTTCTTGTCCTACTTTGAATGTGCTGTCCAACGTTTCGTCTTGCATATACCGTACTTGTTCCCCGTAAGGAGCTCTGTTGCTGTTTCTGCAGGCCTTGTACGTCTTCGAATTGGTATGACATTGTTTGAGAGTTGTCGTTGCGATGTTCATCGGTTCCAAGAGCCGAACTGAAATGATTCGTAGTTTTCTGCAAGCTTTGGTCGAATGACAATGAGTCCTGCTCACTAGAACCAGAAGCTTGGGCTTGTTTCAGTAAACCAAGTAACGTTTGCGCAACATCGGGTTGAGAACTCAAGCCAGACAAAAGCTTTTGCATTGACTCTGGATTCTGCGAAGAAGCAGTTAGTAAACTTTGAATGTTACTTAGAGTCGATGGGGGCCGTTCTCTTGTTCCAGAACTGAAACCAGTAGGGAATGAATTCGCCAAGTTAGTTTTCTCCACACATGCGGCAAAATTTTGTTGTCTTCTTTGAGGCACAAGTTCTTGTATACTAGGGTAGACTGGTTGCTGCGAAGTCTGGAAATCACGAAACGCAGCCTCCTGCTGTGGAATAAACGAGGATGCTATTCCTGATGCCGTACTAAACAACTGACTGTCAGCAACTGGCTGACGGCCGTCCGAAGCGTAATATATATTAGCCTGTTTGGGRTCTTGTCGAGAAACCATAGGATACTGGACAGTTCCTCGAGACGGCGCTAAGAGCGGAACTGGCGCTTCCTTTTCATTTCGTTCGCGAATATTTTCACCCTGACGCTGAATTTCAGCTGAATTATAATGTTCATGCACCAAAGCACCTGAATTCATTGAACGTTTTTCTTCTAATACGGTGACGTTGACAATGTTATTAGCTGATTCTACAGTTGTTCTCATGTCTAGTGTGGTGGCTTGGGTTGCCTGTGGTTGAGACGAAGTGTCGTTCGTTACCTTCATTCTTTTCTCAAGGTAATATTTTAATTGTCTTTGGTTGCGTTTTTCAGTTTTTCTTCGTCTTTCTTTTAATGTCTGTACGAGTTCTTTCTGCGTAGTTTCTTGTCTTTCGTGCATCTCGCTGACCTTCTTGGTCCTTTTAAATTGTTCTTCGAACAGTTCCTGATTTGCACCGGGATTAATGGTAAGTTGAGCCTGTAAGTTTAGTAGCATTTGCTGTTGAACTGACTGTAGTTGTTGTTTTTGCTTGGTAATGGTCTCTTCCAGTAGGGTGTGTTTCGTCATTAACTGGTCATGTAGTTGGCCCTGTGCTTCGATGAAGTTTTCAAGTTCTTCGAAAGACATCGTTAAGTCCTACAACAAGACAATACAAAATGAGTGTTTGGTTGGTCCGTTTGTGTCCAGCTCTTTGTGGTGAAGGGGAAGGACCCAAGTCTTTTCGCCACAGGTAACCCATCCCTCTCGAATCTAAACAAAAACCGGAGCGAGCTTACTGCGGAGGCAAGGCACATTGGAATGCAAAGAAAATACGATTAGCCAATAAAAAGAACTTTTTTGTTATTTCTTAAGGCTGTGAATATCACTCAACTAACCATTGACTCGGTGCTTTCCGTGTCTCCTTCATCCTCACACGACTGGCGTTGGCTTTCGGCCGATCCTACAGTAGACATGTGCTTACCATCCAATGAGTTAGCACTGTTTACAGGAGGCACATTGCTGCTTGACAAATCGTTCATTACCGGCACTACCTCTTTGCAAGCTGATAAAAACAAAATAGTACGTGTTACAGTGGTATATTACGGTTTTAAAGCAACCGTCTCGTTGGCCAGGAATAGCTTTGATTGAACAAGACCCTGCTGGCAGGGTACACTGGGATACCTGGAGGAACTGGAGGACCTGGTTTCAACATGCATGGAGGATTTAGTTGGTCGAGTTACTAAAAATACTGATAAAGTATTTCGTGACGTCTCGAAGTTTGACCTGAGCCTAAGAATCTAAAGGAGAACTAAAAATAAGTTGCAAAATTTCGAACAACAGTATTAAAAGCCGTTTATAGGCAGAACTCATCAAACTCATCAAACTCATCAAACTCATCGAATAACTCAATCTGGAACTCCAATTCCAGTTCCGGGATCCGGATTTTGGCATACGTAATTAGAAATACGTTTCAAAAGCATGCAAATTCGCACGACTCGCTTTAAAATCAAAATGCTTATTTACTGGCGTAAAAACAGGCTAATATTTGCTGAAGACCTCTCATGATTGCTTTACATTTCATAATTTTATAATTTATCGATATTGTAAAATCGAAAAATTAAAGGAGATCATAACGCTTCGAACGGCAAACATCAAACCCTAGAATGTGCGTAGCAAATTATTTATTTTGCTTCTAAAATCAAATAGAATCTTAAAATAAATATTGCTATGTACCTTATGTTCCTTCGTGAGTAGACTTTGAAGCCAAAACAGTTAATATAAATCAATAAATATAGGCTATAAGACTATATTGTCAAGTTCAAGAATATTAAACGAGTGGTGCTGAATTAATTTTACTATCGCTTATCGTAATTCTGACTCTTGAAACCCTATTCTCCTCATCGATCTTCTGTCTGCTGTACTGTTTGTAATTAGTCGTTAGGCGTAATTTTCCTTACTGACGAAATCAATAAAAAAGAAAAAGAAAAAGAAAAAAATAAATTTAACTAAAATAAATAAAAAATTAATTAATTAATTTAATTTAATTTAAAGAAAGTTAATCAAAACAAGCTATTGCCCATAAAGTTCATTGAAAATTCTTAGAGATAACCGATTCGAAATCATCACTATCTTCTCGGCTTGAAATCCTTCTTTAAGAATTTGATAAATTAATATTTCTAGTTCGGCTGTCTTGAATTACAGCAGTCAACGGAATAGAGCATGCGTAGACACAAACCTCTGTTGCGTGATCTGCTAGCTCCGCCCTCTCATAATCACTTGACAACATAGTTACATTGATTGGCATCTGGTACATGATAATTGTTTGGACTATAGACGGGAACCCTAGCAGATGCCCGCAAAGGTCGCTTGGGAAAGTTCCTGAAGACCCCTAGGTAACTATTACGCAACTTCGTCATTTTGTCGAGGAGAAAAAGAAGTTGTCATTTTGTCGAGTTCGTCATTTTGTCGAGGAGAAAAAGAAGTTGTCATTTTGTCGAGAAAAAAAAAAAAATCAAAAGACCAAAAATACAAAGGCATTTTACGACTGTGATCGCAGGTATCCCAGTAAAAAAGGCATTTTACGACTATGATATCACAGGTATCAAAGTAGATGCTGATGACGATCATCTTCAGTGCCCGTCCTAACAATGCAGGGTTCACAGCATATGGTGAAAACTGTTGTGGCGTCCCTCCCTGGCCTTCACAGGAAAAAGCTAAACAAATAAACTAAAACAAATACCTGCGTTACGTTTAACCGGCACGTTTTCYTGTTGGACTTCCAACCCGGGCACCATCAAACTAGTCTGTTGCTGGTTTTGATAAGGATACAAGCTGCTGTTGCTTCCGATGGAGACAATGCTTGTGTGCAGTGGATTACACAGACTGGCCTTTTTCCTCTCTCGTAGACTTTCCATGCCATCCTTGTTACTGCAATTTTAAACAATCAAAAAATATACAGCTATTTCAACAACAAAAATTGTTGAAGGTTTTATTGCATGTCACTTGCATGCTGCATTCTAAGCCGGAGCTGCAATATGGGTTTTTCCGGAGCAAATTTTCTTCTATGCTTACATTATTTACATATGAATATAATATATGAATATATATCCCTTGGGCAAAACTTAACCTGCTAAAATCCAATTCGATATCTGAGTTAGCCGTGCCGTGACTTTGATCAGCCTAGAAGTTGTTTCAGGGTTCGAAACAGCCTGTGTAGCTGCCCAAAGGGAAGGGAAGGGAAGGGAAGGGAAGGGAAGGGAAGGGAAGGGAAGGGAAGGGAGGAAAGGTAGGGCCTGCAATGAACCTACTCGATTTTTCCTACCGCCCCCTAAGTAATATATGCAAACTCTCAACCAATCAAATCAAAGGATAAAGAATTCCTTACAAGGATGAGGTCGGGGGAGGGGGGATTTTTTACCCTGTCCTATATCCTTGCTATTGTCCTGTCCTACCCGGCACCCTTTGACCCAATCAACTTACCAAACGGCAACATTCGTGCTGCAAAAAAATTCGGGTTTCGAGTTCCAGTGGTTGTAGGAGATGAAGCTACGACTCTTCATCCATAACCACTGGTCACCCTTGGATCGCATCCGATAAGGTTCCGTCTTGCATTCACCGTATTCTAACACTGAAAACAGATCAAAAAAGACAAATATCCATTTATTAATTTTAATGTTCAAACAGTGGGGACAAAAGGTTTTTAAGGGTGCCATGGGGAAAATACAAACCATTTAAAGAGGAAAGTCGAGGCGTGACGAAAAGCTCTTTCTTGTTGGCACAACAATCAAAAATATACTAACTCAGACAGAAATTTAATTGACGGAAGCCGAAAATTCAGACGACTTTTACTAAACATGCATCAAGAGTTCCGCCAAGAAAATATGAACTAATTAACTTTCTTTACTGTTCTAAGCGCATGCTCAAGGGGTCAAAAAGTGGGATTATCGGTTGTGAAGATTGCTATCATTTAATCGTATATTTCTTATCAAGCACAACAATAGAAAAAAGTGTCGGGCTAAAACACCTACCACAGGTGGACATTTGACTTTTTCGGATTTATGGTTTGGACATTGATTTTTCGTGCGGTTCAGTCCCTCGATCGGATAACGTTCCCGCGGCTTTTCGGATTCATCGATAAATGCGTGTTTTTGACATTTTGATTTTTTCGATTTCTTGCGGTTTCTTGTTTTTCAGTGGCGTTTCTTTACCCTGTGGTTTTAGCTTCCCCCACTCCTCTCCATTACACTTGCTATGTTGATTCAAACGCAAGTTCTTTCTTCGAGGCTGAGCGACGGATCCGGCGAATAATTTAAGAAAGCGTGGGCAATATTTCGCTGATGTTTTCGAAGAGCACGATAAACAAACTAAATTACTGTCACAATAGAGAAACTGGATTATGTGGAAATACTTATGATTCCTTCAAAAATGAAAAAAACTCTTTGTAAAATAATTTTTATATATTTAAACATCTTATTTGTTTGGTGCATTTGCTGACTTGGCTCGGCTCATTCAAAGCCTTTTAGTATTAGTACTTCATTGTTACCGTACGTTTATATATTTCTTAATAGTTTTTTTAAAGTTAATTGTTCGCTTGTTTGCTTTCCATTTGGTGCCAGCTGGCTCCGCTCAGTTGAAACCTTTGACTAAAAGGAATAAGATAAATCATTAATGTTTGTTTGTTCGTTCGTTTGTTTGTTTGATTGCTTTTCACTTCATATCTCTCCGTTTCACTCAGCTTTCTTGAAGCATTTTCTGGATGCTCTTTTAGTGTATGACTCGACTCAGAAAACAGATTCACATTGAATTCAGCGACAGTCGAATTCAGCCTCACTTCAGACATAAACCAAACAATATAATATGGGATTAAAATAAATAGAAATAAATAGAATTTAGCAGTGGCTTTCCACAGGCAGATTGGCTCTTCATCCACAGAATATTTATAAAACAGTAATGATAAAAAGGTAAATTATACACCGTGAAAAGATGAAAAAAAGACTAGCGTCCAAAACGTCAGTACGTTTTTTCATCTTTTCACGGTGTATAATTTACCTTCTTATCGTTACTGTTTCATTAGAAACACCGACGCAGCTAACACTAGTTTTTAGCTAGTTATCTATTCTCACTCTACCAAGAACGACCCTCGAATTTGTCAACTACATTACAATACGTGTTTAGTTTTACCTCGAGATAGTCAGTGTGACAGCCTCCTCGATCGACCTTTAACCAAAGTTCATATATACTTCTTTCAAATAAGGTTCCCATCGCCAAAGGCGATATAGGCAATAGGCAATAGGCGAAAAGCGATAGGAGATAGGTCATTCCAAGATCCATGAAAAAGCTGGAACGACTTGTGTTTCTGCTGCTTATTCTTGTCTAGAACATGGACATTAGTGTTAAGACGGATTCAATGTTCTTTGTATTCAACGAGACCATTTCCATGTCTGAGTGACCTATCGCCTTTGGCAATGACAACATTTTTAGGTGTATTTCTAACCTTAACACAGTTTTCGTGATGTGCCCCTACAATAAAAGGTTTTTCTAGCACGAGCATGTCATACGCCAGTGCTCGTTCATAAACGCACGTACTTGTGCTCTCAGCGTATGTAAAGAGCAAAACACGAAGGACAGACTCTTCCCGCAATGTTATTTTTATCGCTCGAGGTCGATTTACAGGTCCAGGAACATAGAAAAATAAAATAACCCTTCTATTAGTTGATTCGTATGTAAATTGCTAAAGGAAACCAATTAGGCTTTGGTTGTAAAGAAAAATAAATTAGACGTTGACGATCGGACGTTGTTTGTACTGCATTTAGCCCTACGATGTGCTTATAGCAATGGCTTTACTCAAAGTGTTATAGTGCATAGTTAGTTTGTTTTTCGACTGCTTACTTCCTGACTGACTGATAATGAATATTAATAACTTATTAATAATATTAAATGATATAAGAAAGGTGGTAAACCTGCGGGGGAAGAATACACCTACTTTTCACGAAAGAAAGTTAGACCATCGGAAAAAGTTTCGAATTTTCCGCAAAAAAGATATCAAAAAAAAGATGATTTATTACATACATATTTACTTTTTAAAACATACTGACACAAACTAGCCGCTTCTGCAGTCTGCAGGCATCTCTTTTTATATTTTATTTTTAGTCACTTGGCCCAAGTTCCTGTGATAAAGGATCTTAAACCACAGGTAGCTTGCCGAAGAAACGATAGACCTCTTGCATGTGACGTCAAAGGAGCTCAATTTGGAGGACAAAAGAAAGGAGTTTAAATCTACTAAAATTTGGAAGTCTTTTATTTTGCCCTCTAAATTGAGCTCCATTCCGAAGGTCTGAAAGGGTCTATTTAGAAACTCCAAAGCAAAGAAAGATGCCTGCTGAGGGAG